GGTGAAAGAGAAGGAGAGTCACTTTCAACTGCCAAAACACGATTGACGGTTGTGGGGCGTACCTTGTAATACTGCTTGTAAGAGCTTCAAGTAGTTATACGAGAACTTTAGCGACCACGACGGCGACGAATGTCAAAAAAGCAAAACATCTCTGCACGTGCCGCGTTTCTTTTTTCTGTGTACATTTCTTTGCAGTCAATGCAAGACTACAACGAGAAATTCTCTAATCCAACGGTTAGCATGGGACGTTTCTTTCTCTATCTGAGTCGAGGTTGACCCTAGAGATCAGCTGCAGAAACCTATCTACTATAAAAAAAAATTGTGTGATTTGAAATAATCCTGATAAAATATGAAAGGGTATGCATCTTTGCCTGTATTTTGCCGTCGTCGTCGTTATTAGAGACTAAAAAGAGAGTTTAACCATCACGTTTGCGTCAAACGGCAAATTTGTACCCCGTGACCAAGTTTCTCCTTTGCTTGTCGCCTACTGTTCATTATTTCTGCACATAAATTTGGTAGTTTCATGCAATTTTTTATCCATAAGAATTTTCTGAGCTGTTTTTATATGCTCATTTTCTATTTTGAGATGAATTCTCAACTTGAACCTGACGTTTGCGGTTTGGCGTATACGTGAAGCTTAAACTCTCTAAAGATCGGTGACGTCGAGAACGTCAAAAAATGCTATAGGTTTAATACGGAAAAAAACAACTTTGCGGCATCACGCTTTTTTGTACATTTCGTTGCCGTTTTTGCACGACTTCGACCTGAAAATGCCTAATTTAAAGTTTCGTGGAGAACGTAAACAAGCGACGACGAAGTTTTATTTCTCTTGCTGAACTTGGACATTTTTCTTAGGAATTTAACTCCTGGGGGGTTCACCTACAGTTGACAAAGAAAGTGGGTAGGGTAGGAATAGTCGCGATAAAGATTGAAAGAACGCAAGTTCACTTTTTAAGCGGCGTTTTTCGCTGCCGTCACGTCCTCAGATCTTAAAGTCCCTATTTCCTGTAGAAAGCGTATTTCCATTCCTTGAGGTCAAATAAATCCATCCAGACGTGTATAGTCTTACAGGAAATACACATATCACTTTATTTTAATAACTAGAACACAAACTGATCGGCATATGGACATCCGACATAGGATGTTATGTTTACCTGAGATTAAATAAATAGCTGTAGAATTAGAAAAGGACGGCCTTTGCCACTCACTTTGACACGTAACCGCACCTGAGGAATTGACTGATTAGAAAGTGTAAAGAAATTTTAATTAAAACTAATAAAAATACAGTATCATACTTTTTCTTTGATTCCAATGTAATTCTAGGGTTTTACAACTATACCCACATTTTTTGAACCACCCCTTCTTCGTTTAAATTCCCAATTATTTGATTTTTTTGGCAAGATTAGGTGGACGAGTATGACGAGAACAATTATCAGTAACTAAGGTCGTATTTTCCCTACAAATAACTTGTGTTTGTCCCAAATGGAGGAATTTTAAGTGGAATGCAAAACTAGTGATGTCCCTAACTCAAGCCTCCCCCTTTCGCTGATTGGATTCTTGACTGCCCCGAGTTGAAATCCACTCGACCAAACTTGCAAATGAAAGTCCAACTGGATTAACCAACGCCAGTTGCAGTTTTCAAAAATGTTATGTTTTATTTGGATTTAAAACATTTTGACGATGATGACGGGCCACAAGACTTTGAGCTATAAACAGTGCCTAAAATATAAAGTGATGGTTACCATATATTATCTCCAAGGCCAAAAGTGTCTGAAATCAATTTTGTAACTGAATACTCTTTTGAAAGCAAACGTTATCACGGAAATTTCTGCTGTATTTCCGTTGAGGTATTTATCCTATTTATCGACACAGCTGCCGCCATGCCACACGTGAACGTCCGAAAGCCTGTTTATTGTAAGTTGTGTGATCTCGTAACCACACACGCCAATTTCCTGATCGGGATCCCTCCACACCTGCCCAGAATTTTTAACCACGGACGTCGCTGTGATTGCGCGTTCGCTTTTCATGCGTCTGCTGACACAGTGGCGACTAAAATTTTATAACAGCTGAAAAGGAGCAACACAATCGAACTTTTCGCTCCCGCTGCTGTCTAACCGCTTTTTCGGAAGCTTTGCTTTACAATTTTACTGATGTTTCAGGAAGGGAGAGGAAAAGACGAGGGTGAAAGAGAAGGAGAGTCACTTTCAGCTGCCAAACACGATTGACGGTTGTGGGGCGTACCTTGTAAGAGCTTCAAGTAGACATACGAGTACTTTAGCGACCACGACGGCGACGAATGTCAAAAAAGCAAAACAATTAACTCTGCACGTGTCGCACTTCTTTTTTTGTGTACATTTTTTGAGTTCAATGCAAGACTACAACGAGAAGTTCTCTAATCCGACGTTTTGCATGGGACGTTTCTTTGTCTACTTTACCCTAAAGATCAGCTGCAGAAACTCATCTACTATAGAAAAATTGCGTGATTTGAAGTAAAAAGAGCATGCATCTTTGTGTGTTTTCTCTGCCGTCATCGTCGTGGTTATTAGGGACTTAAAAGAGAGGTTAAGCATCTCAGTCACGTTTACGTCAAACGGCAAACGCGATATATACCACGTGACCAAGTTTCCCCTCTGCTTGTCGCCTACTGTTCATTATGTCTGCACTTAAATTAGTACTTTCACGCAATTTTTGATCCATAAGAATTCTCTGAGCTGTTTTTATCTGCTCATTTTCTATTTTGAGAAATTCTCAACTTGACCCTGACGTTTGGCGTATACGTAAAGCTTAAACTCTCGAAAGATCGGTGACGAGAACGTCAAAAAAAAGCAATAGGTTTAATACGCAAGACAACAACTTTGCACGCGCATCACGCTTTTTTGTACATTTTGTTGCCGTTTTTGCACGACTTCGGCGTGAAAATGCCTAATTTAAAGTTCATAGAGGACGTAAACAAGCGACGACGAAGTTTTATTTCTCTTGTTGAACTTGGACATTTTTCTTAGGAATTTAACTCCTGGGAGGTTCACCTACATTTGACAAAGTAAGTGGGTAGCAGGGTATATAGGAATAGTCGCGATAAAGATTGAAAGAACGTAAGTTCACTTTTTAAGCGACGTTTTCGCTGCCGTCACGTCCTCAGATCTTAAAGTCCCTATTTCCTGTAGAAAGCGTATTTCCATTCCTTGAGGTCAAAGATGTAAAAAGATTTAAACCATCCACAAGTGCATAGTCTTAAGCAAATACACATATCACGTTATTTTTATAACTAGAACATAAACTGATCGGTATATGGACATCCGACATAGGATGTTATGTTTATCTGAGATTAAATAAATAGCTGTAGAATTAGAAAAGGACGGCCATTGCCACTCACTTGGACACGTAACCGCACCTAAGGAATTGACTGATTCCCAACGATGTATTGAGTTAGAGAAAGTGTAAAGAAATTTTAATTAAAACTAATAAAAATACAGTATTATACTTTTTCTTTGATTCCAATGTAATTCTAGGGTTTTACAACTATACCCACATTTTTTGAAACACCCCTTCTTCGTTTAAATTCCCATTAATGTAAGTTAAAGAGGCTACAAATTATTTGACTTTTTTGGCGCAATATTTCGTGGACGAGTACGACGAGAACAATTATTTAACTAAGGTCGTATTTTCCCTACAAATACCTTGTGTTTGTCTCAAATGGGGATTTTCACTGTCACGCAATCAAAAATGAAATTGCAAACCATTCAATACAGAAAGTCCAGAATCTAGGAAATAAAAGAAGATAAATTTGCAAAAGGCCTCGTCAAGAATCAGGTCTCTGCGATATTTCATATGCGAGATATTTATAAAGCTTTGTATGGTGACGAAGGGACACAACTTATGGCCGCCGGAAACCAACAGAAACATCTGTTTTGAGTTTTCCTACTAATGCGCAAATTCATCGCTTGAAAAACTCGTAAAGGATTACAGTGATATTTATTCTGAGACAAGGAATGTTTAAATAGCAAAGTCTCCCAAAATTGGTAATGTTTTTAACCCACATATGAGCCTTGCCGGCCGCCAGCTAAATCCCGCGTCACGCAAAAGCCTAGAAATTCAAAAGTCCTCTATCGCAAAACGAAGAACCCTCTCGAACCAAAACTTTGTTTTAATAAAGGTGTCTAGGTGCTGTAATACCTCATGAAACTCAGAAACTCAGAAGAATCGATAGTTTCTTAGGGTGCGTTCGATTGGGAAATCTGGATTTAGATTTTAAAATCCGGATTTCGGATTTGCAATCGAACGTGAAATCCGAAAACGGATTTCAACGCTGAAATATTTGTTTTTGGATTTTCCTTTTTACCGTTCGATTGGGAAATCCGGAAAAGGATTTGAAAAACTGTCCTTAGGAACAGCGGTCTTGCATGCGCACGCATAATTAGTGAAAAGAAGACCGCTGTTCACGAGAACAGTTTAGCAAATCCTTTTTCGGATTTCCCAATCGAACGACAAAAGGGAAATCCAAAAAATCCGAATTTGGATTTCTTAATTGAAATCCACCTCCGTTTTCGGATTTCGCGTTCGATTGGGAAATCCGGATTTAGATTTTGAAAATCTAAATGCGGATTTCCCAATGGAACGCACCCTTAGTTTGAATTTTGGTGAAGTCATGTGAAAACCGAGAATTTCCTGTAGACGGCGTACTTCCTTTCCTTGACGTCAGAGTAAAAAGATTAAAACCATCCACACGTGTATAGTCCTACAGGAAATACACATATCACTTTATTTTTATAACTAGAACAAATTATTATTACCCAGCTTACAAAACTTTCGGAAACCTTCCTACCTGATCGGTATGTGTCTCGTTATCTCTCAAAGAACCTTTTTCAAGTTCAATTTTAAGTTTCGTGCATCTACTTCTAGTCTACATCTGAGAAAACATCGCTAAATTTGGTCTGTAAAACAGGTTACCCTTTTTCCCTAATCAGAGGCCAACAGGTGAATGATCGACAGGGTATTATACGGTATCACTTTCGTGTATAAGAGTCGAAAGTATTCTTAAAACCTCTGAGTTTACATACCAAAGTTAAGGGTGTTCTGAGTGCACATTCTTCTGATCACGTTCACGAAGAAGGCATCAGTTTCTCAAAAAGAGGTGGACTAAATTTAAATACAGAATGCAGCAACCGGGTAACACATACGAAAATCCAGGTTTTCAGTTGACTACCGTTGACGGAAGTCAGCTGTATATGGACATCGCAGGTTTTGAAGGCAAGGCGGCTAGGTTGACTACACCGAAACCTAAAGGTAGAAGTGTGAGCGCTGGACAGGCTCATCGGGAAAACATCGTCGAAATTCGGCAGCTCGTCATGAATAACGATGGCGGTGTGAACGCTCAAGAAAATCCACTGTACGAAGTAACTCCGATCACTGGACGTCGCCTGAACGTCAACACAGGAAATGATAGTAAAACATCCAGAAGATTAGCCTCGCCACCAAAGACCTCACCGAAACCCAAATCAAGGAGCGCGACCACAGGAGAAATCGAAAAGGAGAAAGTTCCACCTGAAAAACCCGTACAGTTTGACACGGATTACGATGTGGGTGTCTATGAAGTTGTAAAAAGCAACAACAATGATATGCCAAAGCAACAGATCAAGCAAGTATCAGGGGGAGGGCAACCGGATAAAGTGTACGACTCCATAACGCAGACAACGCAACAGCAAATAGATTCGTTACGTCGCACGTTGCGTCTAATGTCTTTGCTTCTTGTGATAGTTTGTCTGACGGCAGTGGTGAGCTTGGTGTTGATACTGGTCGAGATAAGGAATTCATCATCATCAGGTAGGGTGGGCTTAGATGCATTACGAAAGGGATTAAAGGGGTGGGGGACGGGTGCTAAAGCAAAATAACTCCACCAGGACTATCCCGTATTCGAATGCGATGTAGAGAAGCTTAAATCTTTATTTCCAGTGTCAGCCAGCAAAAATTGTCTGAGGTATAAATACCGCCCGTAACCTCACATTAACTAAATTTATTGTTATATTTTGTCTCAAATTGTTTTGTTGCCTTAAAAATCCTTCGATTCTACTGCCATGCCAATATCCCCGTCTAACACACATTCAGTCTCTCCGCCTATGCTACAAAGCCCGGGAAAGGAAGATCTGGTAAAGTTTGATTTCGAGCATGCTCAGTAGCAGTGAGGCCCGATATACGGGCCTTACTATAACTGCGCATGCTCGTCCTTACTGTTGTGGGGAAACAGATATACTTTGGAAAGATAAGAAGCGGTGGCGCTGGAGCGAAATAATTTTGACGAACATGAAAAAATTTTCATGTTGAACTTTTTTTTTCATCTAGGTCTATCGGATGGTGGCTGTACCGGTTGCATACAAAATGCGCACTTTCAAGAAATAACAGAACTGAAAGAAGCGTTGAACTTCACTAGTCGTCAGTTTGACATCGTCAGAAGTGAACTCAAAAGGCAGAACGCGACAATAACCAACATAACGTCGAAGGTATCAGGAACATTCTGAACATGTGGGGTGTCTTGGTCACATCTTAGTGATGATTCAAATGATTCAGCCCAGTAAAAATTCTAAGCAGGTGTCTTTCAGCCCATTCTGGATAAGAGTGAACAGGAGAAATTGCTCTTTTTATTTAGGGGAATCTCGGAAAATTAACACTTGTCCAAAAAAAAAAAACATCTAGAGAAATACTGGAAAAAAATAGACATGGCACCAAGTGGATGATAACCAGTATTATTTCGAATAGCATCTTGTAAAAACAAATAACATTTTATATTATTTTGTTTATAATATGTATTGTGAATTGACTTCCAACGGTTTACACAGAGCCAGGGCGCCAGTGCCTAGTCTCGATTGTTTTAAGTAAACGGGAGTGTACGTGTACGGGAGCGTTGTATAGAGGGTATTACATGGCCGCGCGAGATACGAACTTTTTCTTCGAGTGTTGAAATGTTTCACGAGTGAGCGCAGTAATATTCTATTTATTATATAGACACCATTTCGCTTTGATATTTTTTGGCCGCGAAAGTCGCGATTTATCATTTAGCCATAGCAACGGTGATCTTTTCCATGTGAAGATGACATGTTATTTTCACGTGTAAAGATATCATGTTTTCGCGCGCGAAAGCTCACCTGGTATTTAATTGGTGGTTATATAATAAAGCTCATTTCCCACATTTGTTTCACAGGGATCCGATTACAGTCGTTGCCATGGACCAAAAGGACCACGAGGGCTTCCAGGCCGACAAGGACAGAAAGGGCCGCGAGGACACGAAGGATCGCAGGGTCCTCAAGGGCCCAGGGGACCAATGGGCGTCAACGGGTCTCAAGGCCCACCGGGAGCCCCTGGACGACAAGGACCAATGGGCCCTCCTGGGTACAATGGGACACAAGCAGCTGGGCAACCTGGCCCACCAGGGCCCCTAGGACTTCCAGGTCCACCGGGAAGGCCTGGTGCTGGTAATCTGACTCTTTGTCAGTACCGGAAAGAGAAGGGTACATCACACACAGCAGGACTCGGGGCGGAGTCGGAAGTTTCGCTTCGGGAAGATAAACATCCAGTACGTGATAAATCCGTTTTGCAATATTACATTTAGGCAATGTTCACAATTTAACGGATAGCTTTTCTTGCCGACACAAAGAGTTATCCGAACGTTTATACTCATCATAATGAGAGAGAACAGCAGTATGGTTTATTCTTTACTGAAGGAAACTTCCAAGTTAGTCTTTTGAGGAAGTACAAAAACATGGTACGTTTTTGCATCACAAAAAAAAATCCGATGCTTGGGCCCAGATTTTTTTGTCCGAGTTTTCATTTAATGCAAAAACGTACCATGTTGTTGAGGGAAATTTCTCAAATATAAGCTCTCAGGTACTTAAATAAAAGCTTAAAATGGGAAGTTTTTTGCGTGTTTTGGGGCACTTGTACGAGTTCAAAGCGCACACCGGCCTACCCACGGGAATAAAGGCAAAGGTAGTAGCGAGCCTAATGTTTTGCACTTCAAGGGTATAACACCTTTGACACGGCCCTAAGCCATATTCGACAACAACTTTGCTCTACCTCTGACGCGAAACAAAGCATTGGCCATTTTGATATTTCTTATCCATAGCAGCTCGAACGCAATTTAATTAGTGAAACTATGGTTGTTTGTACTTTAAACGGCGGTCGTTTATTCGTTCAACATAAGCCTTATTACTGTTGGCCATACCTTTTAAGTTTACAGGCGTTACTTTTGAAGCTACTCTCTGCTCCTCCACTAACTATGATGCATCTTGCCTTTTTAGGGATGGAAAATTATCGCCGCCACGTGTTCAACAGAGGGTGATGCAGAGTACGTTTTCAAAGACCGACAGTTTGTGCCAGCAACAAATATACCGCTATACAGATGCGACTGTAAAGGACACAAGACTCATGCTTCAGGGATTATTAAGTGTGTTATACACTACTGGATATGCCCCATTGTCAGCTAAAGACAGCTAGAGCAATTAGCAGTTAATCCGGAAGTACCTTCTGTTTAGGATAGTAACTAAAATAAAAAAAGTACAGGTAGCTTCATTGTACATCAACCGAACACAATAATAGGATTGGGGCCTTAAAGTATTCTTAGGCGTCTGAGGCCTCAATTTTTCATTCACTTTCCAATTATTTGGGACAAAAATTATGCGGTTCACAAGTACGAACGCTCTGCCAAATTTTCCCCTCACGACAAAATTTAAAAAAAAAATAGTAGCAATTGACTCGGGTTTCGATAATGTTCGCTCTTATAGCCAGCCACACTTGGGTTTGAGATAACTAATTCTTGATGATAATGCTAGAAACACTGGAAATAATGCTCTCCCCTATTCAACCTATTTCCCAGAATCCTCCTCTTTCTTCTACTCGTGCGAGAAAGAGAGAGGAGCCTGGAAACAGACTGTTTTCTACTTAGTTTGAAGTTCCCTATTTGTGACCAGAAACGGCAGTTGCTGCTTTCTTTCAGGTTCGCGCGTGTTTTCCATTTGAAGTAAATTTGGTCACTTGGTCAAAAAACAAGCAAATGCTGTTATTCTGCTGCCGAAAAGCCCTTTAAGTGAAGTTCTGCTGCATAAAAAAAAAACCCTTTTGTAATAAGGTTCAACTTTTCTTCTTTTTTTTTTCAAGATTAAACTTATTAAATCAGTATTTTGAAGCACTCTTTCGCATAGGTCAAACGTCGACCTTCACATGTGACGAAACTAACTTTAATAAGCAAAATCTCTTCTCTGAGCTGTTTTTATTTGCTCATTTTCTATTTTGAGAAATTCTCAACTTGAAGCTGACGTTTGGCGTATACGTGAAGCTTAAACTCTCGAAAGATCGGTGACAAGAACGTCAAAAAAAAGCAATAGGTTTAATACACAAAACAACAACTTTGCACGTGCATCACGTTTTTTGTACATTTCGTTGCCGTTTTTGCACGACTTCGGTCTGAAAATGCCTAATTTAAAGTTTCATAGAGGACGTAAACAAGCGACGACGAAGTTTTATTTCTCTTGCTGAACTTGGACATTTTTCTTAGGAATTTAACTCCTGGGGGGTTCACCTACATTTGACAAAGTAAGTGGGTAGGGTAGGAATACTAGTTGCGATAAAGATGAACGCAAGTTCACTTTTTAAGCGACGTTTTCGCTGCAGTCGCGTCCTCGGATCTTAAAGTCTCTATTGGGGATTTTCACTGTCACACAATCAAAAATGAAATTGCAAACCATTCAATACAGAAAGTCCAGAATCTAGGAAATAAAAGAAGATAAATATGCAAAAGGCCTCGCCAAGAATCAGGTCTGTGCGATATTTCATATGCGAGATATTTATAAAGCTTTGTATGGAGACCAAGGGACACAAACATGGCCGCCGGAAACCAATATGATGATGATGATGATGATGATGATGATGAACTTTATTCACGTGTCGATGTATTTAGCTGACGCTAATTGGAGACACAACATAAAGATAAAATAAATAATAAATAATATGATAAATAATAGATAATAAATAATAAATAACATGATAAATATTCTATAATAATATGTACATTAATAAAACGCTATAGTATAATCCTATTTGTTATATTCCTAGACTTTCACTCAACTAAACAGGGACTGCCATTGGCTGATTCTTGGTCACGTGGCCTTGACTAAAATCAAATGTATCCCGATGGTGATACATCAAGCAATGTACCCCGCTCGGGCTACATTTCAGCACGTGATCAAAGCATGGCGGAAAGTGGCGTGACAAAAGGCGGGAAAAATACTGCCAGGTCCTGCCAGTTTTCTTTTTCGTGAATGAACACAACAACACAAACACGAAGCCTCAAGGTAAAAAGCAACGATTTTTAAAGTTATCCAAGAAGTTCCCAGAAAAAAACCGCAGCTAGGGGAGGAAAATGATGCAGACAATATAAGGAAGGTACTTTGTAAATCATTCATTCAGTGGTTTTAAGAATTAAATTTGTGTTGTTATAAGTACCGAGTCGACTATTTTGGTTCGCTTCGGTTATTCTTTTGTTGCTGTTCAAGTGAAAGTCTAGAAATATAACAAAACGCTTAATGTCAGGTCCCTCGGGAAACCAGTTAGTTTTGTTTTCCCTCGAGTCCTGATGTTTCCCTCGGCTTCGTCTCGGGAAACATCAAGACTCTCGGGAAAACAAAACTAACTGTTTCCCTCGGGATCTGACATTAAGGGTATAATATATTATATATACATTTGCAATATGCTGAAATAAACATCTGTTTTTGAGTTTTCCTACTAATGCACGAATTCATCGCTTGAAAAACTCGTAAAGGATTACAGTGATATTTATTCTGAGACAAGGAATGTTTAAATAGCAAAATCTCCCAAAATTGGTTATGTTTTTAACCCACATAAGAGCCTTCCCGGCCGCCAGCTAAATGCCGCGTCACGCAAAAGCCCAGAAATTCAAAAGTCCTCTATCGCAAAACGAAGAACCCTTTCGAACCAAAACTTTGTTTTAATAAAGGTGTCTAGGTGCCGTAATACCTCATGAAACTCAGAAACTCAGAAGAATCGATAGTTTCTTAGTTTGAATTTTGGTGACGTCACGTGAAAACCGAGAATTTCCTGTACACGGCGTATTTCAGAGTAGAAAGATTAAAACCATTCACACGTGTATAGTCTTACAGGAAATACACATATCACTTTATTTTTATAACTAGAACAAATTATTATTACCCAGCTTACAAAACTTTCGGAAACCTTCCTACCTGATCGGTATGTGTCTCGTTATCTCTTCGAACCCGTTTCAATTTCAATTTTAAGTTTCGTGCATCTACTTCTAGTCTACATCTGAGAAAACATCGCTAAATTTGGTCTGTAAAACAGGTTACCCTTTTTCCCTAATCAGAGGCCAACAGTTGAATGATCGACAGGGTATTATACGGTATCACTTTCGTGTATAAGAGGCGAAAGTATTCTTAAAACCTCTGAGTTTACATACCAAAGTTAAGGGTGTTCTGAGCGCACATTCGTCGATCACGTTCACGAAGAAGGCATCAGTTTCTCAAAAAGAGGTGGACTAAATTCAAAAACAGAATGCAGCATTCGGGTAACACATACGAAAATCCAGGATTTCAACTGACTACCGTTGACGGAAGTCAGCTGTATATGGACATCGCATGTTTTGAAGGCATGGCGGCTAGGTTGACTACACCGAAACCTAAAGGTAGAAGTGTGAGCGCTGGACAGGCTCATCGGGAAAACATCGTCGAAATTCGGCAGCTCGTCATGAATAACGATGGCGGTGTGAACGCTCAAGGAACTTTAAATCCACTGTACGAAATAACTCCGATCACTGAACGCCTGAACGTCAACACAGGAAATGCTAGTAAAGCATCCAGAAGATTAGCCTCACCACCAAAGACCTCACCGAAACCCAAATCAAGGAGCGCGACCACAGGAGAAATCGAAAAGGAGAAAGTTCCACCTGAAAAACCCGTACAGTTTGACACGAATTACGATGTGGGTGTCTATGAAGTTTTAAAAAGCAACAACAACCATATGCCAGCGCAACAGGTCAAGCAAGTATCAGGGGGAGGGCAACCGGATAAAGTGTACGACTTCCTAACGCAGACAACGCAACAGCAAATAGATTCGTTACGTCGCACATTGCGTCTAATGTCTTTGCTTCTGGTGATAGTTTGTCTGACGGCAGTGGCGAGTTTGGTGTTGATACTGGTCGAGATAAGGAAGCCTAAGCAGCACACGAGTCTCAATCAGCCTACATCATCAGGTAGGGTGGGCTTAGATGCAGTACGAAAGGGTTTAAAGGGGAGGGGGACGGGAGCTAAAGCAAAATAACTCCTCCAAGACTGACCCGTATTCGAATGCGATGTAGAGAAGCTTAAATCTTTATTTCCAGTGTCAGCCAGCAAAAATTGTCTGAGGTATAAATACCGTAACGTAACCTCAACTAAGCTAAATTTATTGCTATATTTTGTCTAAAATTGTTTTGTTGCCTTAACAATCCTTCGATTCTACTGCCATGCCAATATCCCCATCTAACACACATTCACTCTCTCCGCCTATGCTACAAAGCCCGGGATTGAATTTTCATTAGCCATGTATTTATAAAGCCGTCTGACCAAAAGAAAACAATGCTCGAGTCTAACTATACTGCTACAGGAGTTACGAAAACAACGCCTACGTGATTCGGTTGTATTTTTTTCATTACTTGAATGAAAAGCCTAGTAAGCTGTAAACACTTAAAACCATGGAAAAAAATTCTGCATCGCATATCCCTAACCCTTTAACCTCTGAGAGAGATTAACATTCAATTTCTCTTTAAGGTGACACTGCTTAATGAAAGGTAAAAGTCGTGAGAAAGAAAGGAATAATCAACAAGTGAAAAAGGTTTTGATTGCTAAACGAATTCTCCTCATAAAAAGCATAGGAAATAAAGGAATAATAGTATGGATAATATTTATGATGATATCAAGTTCTAAAGGGTTAGCAGCATAGCTTTTCCTCGGTGCTGAATTTTTGTTGCGAATAGTTTATTTCATGAACCAAATTTTATTGAGATCCTACAAAGGACAGAGATACGAATTTCCCTCTTCTAATTCGGTTCCTTTGAATCCTATGCAAAAACGAAACCCTTCTAAGTCTTAAGACTTAAGTCAGTTAAGTATCCATTTGTAAAGATTTTGTGTGTTTTCTTTTACTTTCTGATTGACTGATTTGTTCCAATGACAAAGGATTCCTATTCACCTTTTCAACTGGGACAAACAATAGTGAGCCTCTATGGTTGCCTGCGGACGTCGATTTCGTCGCGCGTTTTCCATCCAGTCGTCGGTTTTCAGGAGAAATCGTCGCATTTCAAGAGCGGCTTTGCGTGGCATCGCTGTTAGCGAGCTCAGCGTAACCACAACGGAAACGAGAAGATAAGCAAAACAAAAACTCTTTTTGGCAGGTTTCCTTGCCGTCATTGAGCAACTAATGTTGTTGAATTTGATTGAAATGGCGATGCGATCGTCGTGACTTCGACTTCGTCGGAAATATCCACACAGAGGCTCAATAGTGGGATTTAACTGCTTGCTTCAGGCGATAATGCTCTTAACTTAGCAGCATCAACAACAACAGTAACATGACTATAAAGCTTTACAGTTTCGCAAAAGAATTAGGATCAGTTTATGAGTGAAAATACTCATAATGAAACCAATGAGATGAAACCAACAAATCTTGATAAAAAAAGAAAAAAATGAAAATATCGGGCAACAATAAAGTGTGATAACAATTATTAAATAAACGTAGAAACAAATCTTCTGAGAATTCATGCTTTCATCTAGTAGCGCTGTACACAAATGTTAATTAATATCACGCCAGCTTCTTCAAGACGGAGGGGGAAATATTGCTCACGTCAGAGAGAGAAGCAAAGTATTCCGACAAGAAAAGAAAGAAAGTAAAAAAAGAAAATGAAGCCCCGCAAAAATGAAAAACAATAGGTGAAAATTTTTGTACTTGAGGAAAGTCACCAATGGGTTTCTTCGTACATACAGGGCTACAAGAACAAAAAACGCAAAATTATGTAACAGAATATCGAGATCGCCTGGATCACGCGCACAACGTCTAACAAGGGAAGGAGCGCTCGCTGTGAGCTGAAAAAGAATACTTTCCGGTGCTGTTGTTTTGTTTTGTCTGTGTGCCTTAAGAAAACGCAAACAAAAAATGGAACCGGTAGGTAGAGGGAAAGTGGTTATGGGTCGCTTCATCCATGGTGATACAAATTCGGGAATTTGAAATCTGGGCTTTGGAATCCGGAACTCAGCTCAAGGAATCCGGAATCCCAAAAACAATTAGATTCCGGAATCCAAAGTTATACAAGCCTGTTCTGGGAGTTCAGATTGTGGGACGGGGCAAACTGTACGCCTGGGCTGAACAGGATAAAATTCCACTCGCAAGGAATCCGGAATCCACGGCGTGGAATCCAGAATCCAAGAGTGTCTTGGATTTCCTTCACGGCATGGGGCAATAAGGAGGGCGGTGTAGGTCCGTATGACAGAAAATATGTAAAATGCAAGAATACGTATTTTCTAACAGAATACACTACTCGTCCACAGAGCCGCAGTCCCTTTCGCCAGTAGTGATATTTATTCTGAGACAAGGAATGTTTAAATAGCAAAATCTCCCAAAATTGGTTATGTTTTTAACCCACATAAGAGCCTTCCCGGCCGCCAGCTAAATGCCGCGTCACGCAAAAGCCCAGAAATTCAAAAGTCCTCTATCGCAAAACGAAGAACCCTTTCGAACCAAAACTTTGTTTTAATAAAGGTGTCTAGGTGCCGTAATACCTCATGAAACTCAGAAACTCAGAAGAATCGATAGTTTCTTAGTTTGAATTTTGGTGACGTCACGTGAAAACCGAGAATTTCCTGTACACGGCGTATTTCAGAGTAGAAAGATTAAAACCATTCACACGTGTATAGTCTTACAGGAAATACACATATCACTTTATTTTTATAACTAGAACAAATTATTATTACCCAGCTTACAAAACTTTCGGAAACCTTCCTACCTGATCGGTATGTGTCTCGTTATCTCTTCGAACCCGTTTCAATTTCAATTTTAAGTTTCGTGCATCTACTTCTAGTCTACATCTGAGAAAACATCGCTAAATTTGGTCTGTAAAACAGGTTACCCTTTTTCCCTAATCAGAGGCCAACAGTTGAATGATCGACAGGGTATTATACGGTATCACTTTCGTGTATAAGAGGCGAAAGTATTCTTAAAACCTCTGAGTTTACATACCAAAGTTAAGGGTGTTCTGAGCGCACATTCGTCGATCACGTTCACGAAGAAGGCATCAGTTTCTCAAAAAGAGGTGGACTAAATTCAAAAACAGAATGCAGCATTCGGGTAACACATACGAAAATCCAGGATTTCAACTGACTACCGTTGACGGAAGTCAGCTGTATATGGACATCGCATGTTTTGAAGGCATGGCGGCTAGGTTGACTACACCGAAACCTAAAGGTAGAAGTGTGAGCGCTGGACAGGCTCATCGGGAAAACATCGTCGAAATTCGGCAGCTCGTCATGAATAACGATGGCGGTGTGAACGCTCAAGGAACTTTAAATCCACTGTACGAAATAACTCCGATCACTGAACGCCTGAACGTCAACACAGGAAATGCTAGTAAAGCATCCAGAAGATTAGCCTCACCACCAAAGACCTCACCGAAACCCAAATCAAGGAGCGCGACCACAGGAGAAATCGAAAAGGAGAAAGTTCCACCTGAAAAACCCGTACAGTTTGACACGAATTACGATGTGGGTGTCTATGAAGTTTTAAAAAGCAACAACAACCATATGCCAGCGCAACAGGTCAAGCAAGTATCAGGGGGAGGGCAACCGGATAAAGTGTACGACTTCCTAACGCAGACAACGCAACAGCAAATAGATTCGTTACGTCGCACATTGCGTCTAATGTCTTTGCTTCTGGTGATAGTTTGTCTGACGGCAGTGGCGAGTTTGGTGTTGATACTGGTCGAGATAAGGAAGCCTAAGCAGCACACGAGTCTCAATCAGCCTACATCATCAGGTAGGGTGGGCTTAGATGCAGTACGAAAGGGTTTAAAGGGGAGGGGGACGGGAGCTAAAGCAAAATAACTCCTCCAAGACTGACCCGTATTCGAATGCGATGTAGAGAAGCTTAAATCTTTATTTCCAGTGTCAGCCAGCAAAAATTGTCTGAGGTATAAATACCGTAACGTAACCTCAACTAAGCTAAATTTATTGCTATATTTTGTCTAAAATTGTTTTGTTGCCTTAACAATCCTTCGATTCTACTGCCATGCCAATATCCCCATCTAACACACATTCACTCTCTCCGCCTATGCTACAAAGCCCGGGATTGAATTTTCATTAGCCATGTATTTATAAAGCCGTCTGACCAAAAGAAAACAATGCTCGAGTCTAACTATACTGCTACAGGAGTTACGAAAACAACGCCTACGTGATTCGGTTGTATTTTTTTCATTACTTGAATGAAAAGCCTAGTAAGCTGTAAACACTTAAAACCATGGAAAAAAATTCTGCATCGCATATCCCTAACCCTTTAACCTCTGAGAGAGATTAACATTCAATTTCTCTTTAAGGTGACACTGCTTAATGAAAGGTAAAAGTCGTGAGAAAGAAAGGAATAATCAACAAGTGAAAAAGGTTTTGATTGCTAAACGAATTCTCCTCATAAAAAGCATAGGAAATAAAGGAATAATAGTATGGATAATATTTATGATGATATCAAGTTCTAAAGGGTTAGCAGCATAGCTTTTCCTCGGTGCTGAATTTTTGTTGCGAATAGTTTATTTCATGAACCAAATTTTATTGAGATCCTACAAAGGACAGAGATACGAATTTCCCTCTTCTAATTCGGTTCCTTTGAATCCTATGCAAAAACGAAACCCTTCTAAGTCTTAAGACTTAAGTCAGTTAAGTATCCATTTGTAAAGATTTTGTGTGTTTTCTTTTACTTTCTGATTGACTGATTTGTTCCAATGACAAAGGATTCCTATTCACCTTTTCAACTGGGACAAACAATAGTGAGCCTCTATGGTTGCCTGCGGACGTCGATTTCGTCGCGCGTTTTCCATCCAGTCGTCGGTTTTCAGGAGAAATCGTCGCATTTCAAGAGCGGCTTTGCGTGGCATCGCTGTTAGCGAGCTCAGCGTAACCACAACGGAAACGAGAAGATAAGCAAAACAAAAACTCTTTTTGGCAGGTTTCCTTGCCGTCATTGAGCAACTAATGTTGTTGAATTTGATTGAAATGGCGATGCGATCGTCGTGACTTCGACTTCGTCGGAAATATCCACACAGAGGCTCAATAGTGGGATTTAACTGCTTGCTTCAGGCGATAATGCTCTTAACTTAGCAGCATCAACAACAACAGTAACATGACTACAAAGCTTTACAGTTTTGCAAAAGAATTAGGATCAGTTTATGAGTGAAAATACTCATAATGAAACCAATGAGATGAAACCAACAAATCTTGATAAAAAGAATTAGGATCAGTTTATGAGTGAAAATACTCATAATGAAACCAATGAGATGAAACCAACAAATCTTGATAAAAAGAAAAAAATGAAAATATCGGGCAACAATCAATAATAAACAATAAACGTAGAAACAAATCTTCTGAGAATTCATGCTTTCATCTAGTAGCGCTGTACACAAATATTAATTAATATCACGCCAGCTTCTTCAAGACGGAGGGGGAAATATTGCTCACGTCAGAGAGAGAAGCAAGGTATTCCGACAAGAAAAGAAAGAAAGTAAAAAAGGAAAATGAAGCCCCGCAAAAATGAAAAACAATAGGTGAAAATTTTTGTACTTGAGGAAAGTCACCAAAGGGTTTCTTCGTACATACAGGGCTACAAGAACAAAAAACGCAAAATTATATAACAGAATATCGAGATCGCCTGGATCACGCGCACAACGTCTAAGACTTTCTATCAAGGGAAGGAGCGCTCGCTGTGAGCTGAAAAAGAATACTTTCCGGTGCTGTTGTTTTGTTTTGTCTGTGTGCCTTAAGAAAACGGAAACAAAAAATGGAACCGGAAGGTAGAGGGAAAGTGGTTATGGGTCGCTTCATCCATGGAGATACAAATTCGGGAATTTGAAATCTGGGCTTTGGAATCCGGAATCCCAAAAACAATTAGATTCCGGAATCCAAAGTTACACAAGCCTGTTCTGGGAGTTCGGATTGTGGGACGGGGCAAACTGAACGCCTGGGCTGAACAGGCTAAAATTCCACTCGCAAGGAATCCGGAATCCACGGCGTGGAATCCAGAATCCAAGAGTGTCTTGGATTTCCTTCACGGCATGAGGCGATAAGGAGGGCGGTGTAGGTCCGTATGACAGAAAATATGTAAAATGCAAGAATACGTATTTTCTAACAGAATACACTACTCGTCCACAGAGCCGCAGTCCCTTTCGCCAGTGCTGCTGGCCAAAAGGATCGCGGCCCTGGAGATGAGAATGAATGTAACGTCACATTTTAGCTTAATCTCATACCCAGATCTCCCATGGCCAAGGGAAAGGAAGATCTGGTACAGTTCGATTTCGAGCATGCTCAGTAGCAGTGACGCTCGATGTACGGGCCTTACTATAACTGCGCATGCTCGTCCTTACTGTTGTGGGGAAACAGACATACTTTGGAAAGGTAAGAAGCGGTGGCGCTGGAGCGAAATAATTTTGACGAACATGAAAAAATTTTCATGTTGAACTTTTTCTTTCATCTAGGTCTATCGGATGGTGGCTATACCGGTTGCATACAAACTGTGCACTTTCAAGAAATAAAAGAACTAAAAGAAGCGTTGAACTTCACTCGTCGTCAGCTTGACATCGTCAGAAGTGAACTCAAAAGGCAGAACGCGACAATAACCAACATAACGTCGAAGGTATAAGGAACAAATTCTATGTGGGTTTCTTGGTCACATCTTAGTGATGATTCACTTGATTCAGCCCATTAAAAATTCTAAGCAGGTGTCTTTCAGCCCATTCTGGATAAGAGTGAATATGAGGAATTGCTGTTTGTATTTAGGGGAATCTTGGAACATTAACACTTGTCAAAAAAAAAGAAACATATAAAGAAATACTGAACAGAAGTAGATACGGCACCAAGTGGATGATAACCAGTATTATTTCGAAAAGCATCTTGTAAAAACAAATAGCATTTTTATATTATTTTGCTTATTATATGTATTGTGAATTGACTTCCAACGATTTACACAGAGCCAGGGCGCCAGTGCCTAGTCTCGATTGTTTTAAGTAAACGGGTGTGTACGTGTACGGGAGTGTTGTATACAGGATATTACATGGCCGCGCGAGATACGAACTTTTTCTTCGAGTGTTGAAATGTTTCACGAGTGAGCGCAGTAATGTTCTATTTATTAAATAAACACCATTTCGCTTTGATATTTTTTGGCTGGATAAGGCGCGATTTATCATTTAGCCATAGCAACGGTGATCTTTTCCATGTGAAGATGACATGTTATTTTCACGTGTAAAGATATCTTGTTTTCGTGCGCGAAAGGTCACCTGGTATTTAATTGGTGGTTATATAATAAAGCTCATTTACCACTTTTGCTTCACAGGGATCCGATTGCAGTCGTTGCCCTGGACCACAAGGACCACAAGGGCTTCCAGGCCGACAAGGACAGAAAGGGCCGCCAGGACCCAAAGGACCGCAGGGTCCTCAAGGGCCCAGAGGACCAATGGGCGTCAACGGGTCTCAAGGCCGACCGGGAGCCCCTGGACGACAAGGACCAATGGGCCCTCCTGGGTACAATGGGACACAAGCAGCTGGGAAACTTGGCACACAAGGGCCCCAAGGACTTCCAGGTCAACCGGGAAGGCCTGGTGCTGGTAATCTGACTCTTTGTCATTACAAGTACAAGAAGGAGGCAGCACAAACAGCAGGACCCGGGGCGGATTCGGTAGTTATGCTTCGGGAAGATGATCATCGGGTAGGTGATAAATCCGTTTTGCAATATTACATTTAGGCAATGTTCACAATATAACGGATAGCTTTTCGTGCCGACACAAAAAGTTATCCGAACGTTTATACTCATTATAATGAGAAATAACAGCAGTATGGTTTATTCTTTACTGAAGGAAACTTCCAAGTTAGTCTTTTGAGGAAGTACAAAAACAAGGTACGTTTTTGCATCAAAAAAAGAATCCGATGCTTGGGCCCCGGATTTTTTTGTCCAAGTTTTCATTTAATGCAAAAACACACCATATTGTTGAAGGAAATTTCTCAAATATAAGCTCTCAGGTACTTAAATAAAAGCTTAAAATGGGAAATTTTTTTGCGTCTTTTGGGGCATTTGTACGAGTACAAAGAGCACACCGGCCTACCCACGGGAATAATGTTTTGCACTGCAAGGGTATAACACCTTCGACACGGCCCTAAGCCATATTGGACAACACCTTTGTCCTACCTTTAACGCGAAACAAAGCAGTAAGCAAGCAGTTGCGACCTCAAATTAAATGCAAAGGCGACTCATTGGCCATATTTGATATTTCTCATCCATAGCAGCTCGAACGCAATAACCAGCATAGGAGCAACTACTTCTTTTGCTTCAATGGTTATTTAATTAGTGAAACTATGGTTGTTTGTACTTTAAACGGCGGTCGTTTATTCGTTCAACATAAGACCTATTACTGTTGGCCAAGCCTTTAAACTTTACAGGCGTTACTTTTGAAGCTACTTTCTGCTCCTCCACTAACTATGATGCATCTTGCCTTTTTAGGGATGGAAAATTATCGCCGCCACGTGTTCAACAGAGGGTGGTGCAGAGTACGTTTTCAAAGACGCAGTGCTTGACCCCAGAACAAATGTATGGGTGTACAAATGCCATTGTAAAGGAAAGTCGAACTTATTTCTTGGTTCAAGGTATATGAAGTGTGTTATACACTACTGGATATGCCCCACTGTCAGCTAAAGACAGCTAGAGCAATTAGCAGTTAATCCGGAAGTACCTCCTGTTTAGGATAGTAGGGAGTGCTGTTCTAAGCACCAAATATTGGAGGTATTATATCGTTAGATTCAAGTACCAACACAGACACAGTCAGATTAATCGATAACTGCAATTAGGACTCAATAATACTCAAGATATATTATATACGGTACATATCTAGGCACATAGTGTTTCTGTGAAAAGCTGCACGGTTTACGAAGTTAAGCAAGAGCTCCAAATAATATTAACAAATTAAGAATCCTAACTAAAATAAAAAAAGGTACAGGTAGTTTCATTGTTCATCAACCGAACACAATAATAGGATTGGGGCCTTAAAGTATTCTTACGCGTTTGAGGCCTCAATTTTTTATTCAATTTCCAATTATTTGGGACAAAAATTATGGGGTTCACAAGTTCTAACGCTCTGCCAAATTTTCCCGTCACGACAAAATTAAAAAAAAATAGTAGCAATTGACTCGGGTTTCGATAATGTTCGCTTTTATAGCCAGCCACACTTGGGTTTGAGATTACTAATTCTTCATGATAATGCTAGAAACACTGGAAATAATAGACCTTGTCACGGTTTTCGACGCCATCTTGACGAGTAGGCAAACGTGTGAGAAATAACAGTGTTTTTATGAGAATCTAATGTAGAATAATTCCGTAAAACGGCTGTTCTGAAAAAAATATCAATTGTACACTAAAGTTACAAAGCAAAGGATTGTCCTAAAAAATTTTGGAGGCGTACCTATGCTTAAATTTCTCCAGAGGCTTGCTTTAGATTTTCCATATGTTTGTCTGTAATTTTCCCGGGACTTTCCTAGAGACAAATGTATAGGAAATTTAAAAAGTGGTTCTAGGTCTTCTAGTGCATGTAACGCCCTCAAATGTTTTTAGTACAATCCTTAGGAGTGAAGCTTTAGTTTACAAATCATATTGTCTTCAGAACAGCTGTTCTACGGAAATTATTCGACATTGGATTCTCATACAAACACTGTAATTTCTCACGCATTTGCCTACTCGTCAAGATGGCGTCGAAAACCGTGACAAGGTCTATGCTCTCCCCTATTCAACCTATTTCCCAGAATCCCCCTCTTTCTTCTACTCGTGGTAGAAAGAGAGAGGAGCCTGGAAACAAGGCTGTTTTCTACTTTGTTTGAAGTTCGCTATTTGTGACCCAGAGACGGCAGTTACTGTTTTTTTTTTCAGGTTCGCACGTTAAAATACATAATTAATTTCCTTACTTCATTGTTAGTTTTATTCATAAGCTGTTAGTTTCAGACCGTCTTTCCCTTTGACAAGTACCTAGCTCAGGTATAGAAGTCTAGATTTCTCATGTTATTGTAAATTGCTAACACTTCCAAAATCTACTTTGTGATTAATCGACGTCGCTATACACCATCGATATGGCGCAAATTAATATTTTGCCATAAAGAACGATACTGATAATAGGTATTTTTAACAATTAGTTGACTGAGGGTGAATAAACAAAATCTATTGTTTTCGCTCAAGTTCGTCCCATGAAAAATTCGACGTTTGTTTTGGCATATTAGTTAAAATACATAATTAATTTCCTTACTTAATTGTTAGTTTTATTCATAAGCTGTTAGTTTCAGATCGTCTTTCCCTTTGACAAGTACCTAGCTCAGGTATAGAAGTCTAGATTTCTCATGTTATTGTAAATTGCTAACACTTCCAAAATCTACTTTGTGATTAATCGACGTCGCTATACACCATCGATATGGCGCAAATTAATATTTTGCCATAAAGAACGATACTGATAATAGGTATTTTTAACAATTAGTTGACTGAGGGTGAATAAACAAAATCTATTGTTTTCGCTCAAGTTCGTCCCATGAAAAATTCGACGTTTGTTTTGGCATATTAGTTAAAATACATAATTAATTTCCTTACTTCATTGTTAGTTTTATTCATAAGCTGTTAGTTTCAGATCGTCTTTCCCTTTGACAAGTACCTAGCTCAGGTATAGAAGTCTAGATTTTTCATGTTATTGTAAATTGCTAACACTTCCAAAATCTACTTTGTGATTAATCGACGTCGCTATACACCATCGATATGGCGCAAATTAATATTTTGCTATGAAGAACGATACTGATAATAGGTATTTTTAACAATTATTTGACTGAAGCTGAATGTGATGTGAAACAATATGCAGATTGAGGGGATCTGCTGATAATTCTTCACATGATACGAAAGCCGAATTCAATAATTGTTTTATTAAATATGATTAATCGACGTCGCTATACACCATTGTTATGGCGCAACTTAATATTTTGTTATAAAGAACGATACTGATACCAGGTATATTTAACAATTAACTGACTGAGGCTGAGTATGTTCTGAAGAATTATGCAGATCGAGGGGAGCTGCCGATAATTCTTCACATCATACGAAAGCCGAATTCAATCATTGATTTATTATTCAATCAAAATATTTTTATGTTCTTAAAAAGCTCACCTCCTCGTAGACATTCTTCAAAACTTTGACAGATCTTTTTCTTGCAGATATTGCTCAAAAAGTAGATAACATTTATCGATGTTTAGTTCACCCGCGAATAAAGAGCCACAATCCTGGACAAAACGTTTGGGACACTTAGTCATTTACACATGATCTGTGCGTTATCCAGTCATCCCCTCCCCCCTGGACAGTGTTGGGTGTTACTGGCCAAAAACGTTTGAGAAGTCTTTTAAAGTGTATGAACTTCAACTTTGTTCAGGGGGGGAGGGGGAAACCGAGGCATGGCCGTATCGACAACTGTAAATTGACGGTCACTCAGCAATTTCCTACCAACAAGAGGAGGGGGGAAGAGAAGTGTCCCAGACCCTTTTGGCCAGGATTGTAGGTTGCAGCGCCTGAAAACAAGGTTGATCGATCGTTATTTTTACCTAGAAACGAGGCTTCTTGGGAAATACACCATTGGATCGATGTTATATTACTAGCATCTTCCTAATGTGATCAACGGTGAGCTGGTTATTAAGAATTAACCGAGGGATTTAAGCCAGTCAGAAACGGCAAAATATTTTGAATGAATAATAAAACCTTTTTATTTATAAATGAATATAGAAAAACGATTAAACTTTATTAGTTATTTTACTTTTAATTTAATTCATAAGCTCACTGTTACTCGCGGTAGATTTTAACTTTGACAAGTACCTACGTTAGGTATGAAAAAATATTCAACTGTCTTTTTTTTCATTTCAAAGATGCACTTTTCTTTCAAGTTTCCCTTTATTTTTCGACGTCGCTATAACTTTTGTTTTAGCGCAAATTAATGTAATCCTTCAAAGAAAGACTCTCTTTATTAAAGAGTTTGGTCAGTTGATTTCTGGTAAATTCAGACTGTTAGAATTTTCAATCAGACATAATTATCATGATTATAGGAATTTGAATCAAAACTTCCTTCTATGTTTACTCTGCGAGAGGAGGTTTCCCTCCCGCATTGCTTTTAGCATTAACGAAGTCGTTTGCGTCGCTTGTCACTAACAATGGAAAAGGTGTCAAACGAGTGCGTAATACATAATTTGTACGTAATCGCTATCTCACAAGGAAGCAAAATCGATTGTTTTATGGTCTAAGGCGATTTTTAGTCTAGATCAAGTCGTAATTAAACGAGAAATATCCAATGAAATCTTACTGTTTTGACGAACAGATATTAAGTTGAAAAAATCATTTAGGAAAGCTGGCTGTAACAGGCTGGTTTACAACTCGCCAAAGAAAACTCAATCCCAAGTTATCTGGGTTTTTGGAATGTCTAAAATCAGATAACGCACTGTTCAAGAAGCATCGAAGCCTACTAGGGATGAATAAAGGCACCACCTGCAAGTGTCAAAGTTGCAGTTTTCCTGCTGCGAGTAGGTCGTGTCAACTATTCTATACGCCGTTTGAAATTGATAAAATGTTCTTCTTTACAACGAAAATCTGATTCAAACTAAAATGTTGCAAGATGTTTTGTAAGATATAATTTTGTTAGGGGAACGACGTTTGCACATGTACACTAAAACAAACACTCAAAATTATCACTAGGCCAGGTCATGTTCTAAAGGAGTATGAAATAATTATAACATGCGCTTATCAACTGCTACCTGTCTTGCAATGAGACTTGATACTTGCTTGATAAAAGCTTAGTTTGAATTTTATGAAAAGGAACACCCCATTACAAATAAACTGTGCAATTTTTTTGGGTTTTAGCAATGTCTACAAACAAGTAACGTACCATTCAAGAAGCATCAAGACCTACTTCGAATGATTAACGGCACCTTAATTCACGCTTATCACTACCTGTCTTGCAAAGAGCCACAGGGCACCCAGATGTTGATAATAGCTTATTTTGAATTTCAAAGATTTTTCAAATTCTTTTTCTAGAAAATCATTATGATTGTTTGCAATGAAAAGGAACGTCCATTACAAATCAACTGTGCAAATTTTTTGGGTCTTAGATATGTCTAAAATTTAAAAAACGTACTGTTCAAGAAGCATCAAAGCTTACTACGAATGATTATCGGCACCACTTAAAACTGTCAAAGTTTTCTTTTTCTGCTGCGAACAGGTCGTGTCATTTAACTATTCTTACTGTTCGCTGTCTGAAGGTGATAAAATGATGTTCTTTACAACGGCAATCATTCAAACTGAAATGTTGCAAGAGGTTTTTTCTAACAACTAATGTTGTTAGGGGATCGACGGTTGTAAATGTACTGTATGTTATTGTAAATTGCTAACACTTCCAAAATCTACTTTGTGATTAATCGACGTCGCTATACACCATCGATATGGCGCAAATTAATATTTTGCTATGAAGAACGATACTGATAATAGGTATTTTTAACAATTATTTGACTGAAGCTGAATGTGATGTGAAACAATATGCAGATTGAGGGGATCTGCTGATAATTCTTCACATGATACGAAAGCCGAATTCAATAATTGTTTTATTAAATATGATTAATCGACGTCGCTATACACCATTGTTATGGCGCAACTTAATATTTTGTTATAAAGAACGATACTGATACCAGGTATATTTAACAATTAACTGACTGAGGCTGAGTATGTTCTGAAGAATTATGCAGATCGAGGGGAGCTGCCGATAATTCTTCACATCATACGAAAGCCGAATTCAATCATTGATTTATTATTCAATCAAAATATTTTTATGTTCTTAAAAAGCTCACCTCCTCGTAGACATTCTTCAAAACTTTGACAGATCTTTTTCTTGCAGATATTGCTCAAAAAGTAGATAACATTTATCGATGTTTAGTTCACCCGCGAATAAAGAGCCACAATCCTGGACAAAACGTTTGGGACACTTAGTCATTTACACATGATCTGTGCGTTATCCAGTCATCCCCTCC